CACACACACACACACACACACACACATGCATGCGTTAAAGGCTGAGACATTGTGTGTGTGTGTGTGTGTGTGTGTGTGTGTACACACACACAATGTCTCAGCCTTTAACTTTTAGCAGTGCTGTGTAACAAAATAAAAACAATTAACATCTTTTCTTTCACAACAGCAAATATGCAGCACAGAGTTATCCACCTACAAGTTCAGATGTATTTCTACCGCACGAGTAGCACGTAAGTCTTTATTTACTTTTATTTTTTGTATAAACTCAACAGATATGGGCTGCCAAGTGTAAAGTAAAATGTAACACTTTATTTAGCTCACTTTGTGAGTGTAAATTCCTAGTTTAAAAATGTCCGCTAACATTTTATTGTTTTTTTTCACTGTTTTTACTTTTAGCTAAATTTTATTAAGTGTTCAATTCAAACATAAAATTTTATATCCTAATTCTACATGTTTACATGTATTTATTTAGGAATGGATTACATTGTTTACATCTCTAAGCTGAGTTTGTAAGAGGTTTGCAGCTGTAAGAAAAAGATAACTGCACAGAAAACCAAGTTAGTTCTCTTCTAAAAGTCTTTTTCCTTCAGATCTGTAAACTCATTGTTTACAGGCACTGTGTGTTGGCCCTGAGTTTTATCAGAATCAAAACGAGGTCCTCTCCTCAGCAGGCCTGCGTCTGCTTACCCTGAAGTCTTACATGTCTCTGAACAATAACAGAACACCCTGCTCACACCCTGCACTGCCACCGTTTACGTCAGACGTTGAAAAGTCAACAATACTTTGTTTATGCTGCAGAGAAGGGACACATTACATAGAAACATACTGATTCTCTTCCTGTTTAAAGCAAAAGGCTATAATTGATCACAAAGGGCAGAATATAGAACTGTATCTAAAATAAAATTCAATTTATCAGTCTTAAAATTTCCTTCATGGCTTTTGTTATGACGTCATCATCCAGAGACAAAGGCAACCAGTAATACTGCTAACGCTTTCATACAAGACATCATACATGGATGGATGGATAGATGACAGATGGATAGATAGATGATAGATGGATGGATGGATGGATGGATGGATGGATAGATGGATAGATGACAGATGGATAGATAGATGATAGATGGATGGATAGATGGATGGATAGATGGATGTATAGATAGATGGATAGATAGATGTTTGATGGATGGCTAGATGGATAGGTAGATGGATAGATGGATGGATAAATAGGTAGATGGATAGATGATAGATGACAGATGGATGGATGGATAGATGGATGGATAGATAGATGGATAGATAGATGTTTGATGGATGGCTAGATGGATAGGTAGATGGATAGATGGATGGATGAATAGGTAGATGGATAGATGATAGATGACAGATGGATGGATGGATAGATGGATGGATAGATAGATGGATAGATGGATGGATAGATGGATGGATGGATGGATAGGTAGATGGATAGATGGATGGATGGATAGATGGATAGGTAGATGGATAGATGGATGGATGGATAGATGGATAGGTAGATGGATAGATGATGGATGGATAGATGGATAGGTAGATGGATAGATGATGGATGG